ATTCCTGGATGCCCCCAAAACAAACCCCCCCTAGATATTAGACATTCCCGCCGGCACTTGCCACCATTCTCACCTAGCCCCCTTTTGATGCCAATGAATAACATACCCAAACCCACCCTTGAAGTTGATGTTTTCTACCCCCTTTTTTCCTCTGCCATGCAGAAACATAACCCTGTTTAAAAAGAAAAAAACAAAAACATTGTTAATGAACTTACCTCCTACATGTCCCCCTCCCCTCTTCCCCCTCCTACCAACACCGCCAGATGTAAGTGTCAAAGCCCTGTGCAAAATATCCGATTACCAATACCTACCTTTTACCCACCCCTACATGGGTTATTTGTGTATCTCGGAGCTGTTAGGCTTTTTGTGTTAGGTTATTCAATCCAGTTCATTATGCATATCTATGTACCTACGGGAGCCTAGCCCCATTGTATCGTTTTTACACACACGCTCATGGGAACCCGCTTCTCAAGTTGTCGTACTCACTCGTTGGGTAGTTCAGGTTATTCTCTCGCATCTCCAACGCACCAGTGCCTCCGAATCCCTCTACGACCGTCTTGATCAAACTCCGTTCGTGGTCAACGGGATGGTCACCACTTAGTTCCCACCACATTGCTCCACCTAGCCCAACGCCTCTGATGTAGTCCACCTTCTTCCTGGTGATCAGCGGCGTATCGTAACTTATCATCTTTCTTTCACTACCAGAGTAACTCCAACTGGCACCTAGGTTCTCGTCATTGTACTCCTCGGCCCCGTCCTTGGGGAGAACATGGTAATCCCAAATACCATTCTCCCAGGACCCTTCACCGACGCCCTGGAACGGTTTCCCGGGCCCATCTGTCTGTTCAAACGCGCGGCCGTACAGAGGCAGACCACAGATGATCTTTGCCGGGTGAACACCTCCAGCCATGTATGCACGAAGAGCAGCATCAATGGAGAACGTCGTGGAGGCAGGATTATCCACGGACGGATAAAGGTTTGCCTGGTGTCCTGCGTTGCTGTCCCATCCACCTGCGAAATCGTAGCACATCATGTTCCAGAAGTCAAGGTATCGATCCATATCCGCCATACGGAGGACGCCATAGTTGGATGCTCCGCACGGTGCAGCAACGGTCAACAGCAGTCTACCGCCGTCTGGCCGTTGGACAACTTCAGCGGAGAACTTGTCTAGTTCGTATCTCACGGCTTCAAGAAGGAGAACAAAGTTATACGCCTCGGTGTCATCCTTAGGATATTCCCAGTCAATGTCTATGCCGTCGAAGCCCAGGTTGGCTACCAGTTTAACAGCAGAGCGGGCAAAGGTCTCACGGCCCTGGGGAGTGGATGCTGGCGCAGCGAAGTTGGAGGAATACGTCCAGCCGCCGATGGAGAGGAGGATGTGGAAATGACGGTGCTGTTTCTTGAGGAGGAAGAGCTGCTTGATGCATCCGTAGACGTTGTTTCCGGTATCATTCCAGGAATCTTCGGGGTAGTGTTTCTCGAGGTCCGAGTAGGTGTCTGAGAGATAGCTATAGCCACGTAGTTATTAGTTAGCAGTGTAGTTCTATGGTGAACATTCGGCAGAGTCTCACTCACACTTCGCCTGTCTCTGGACGCACATTCGCAAAGGAGTCTAAAGAGATCTATCAGCGGGTTTTACTGAAGAGACACCAGCTAATACGTACAGAGAATATGGGTGAGGTGGCTCGCTGGGATATCCGCAGGCTGATAGTTGCGTCCGTAGATGCCCTACACAGCACAGGAGCGTTAGAGCACATGGTTATCAACCCAGCAGAAGAGAAGCCAGATATAGAGAGCAGACTCACCCAGTTTGTGAAGTATCCCACGGTCTTCAGGCCCTGTCTTCCGCCCTGGAAGGATGGCACGGCGGAGGCAACGTTGACCACCCCCCGCGAGGCCTCGGCGGGCTCAGCGGACGCAGCGGGCGGCGGAGGGGCGGAAGCAGCCGCAGCAGCATCGCCAGCAGCACCAGCAGCAGGAGAAGGAGTTCCGCCCGCCGCGCCAGGCAGGTTGAGGACCTGGCCGACCTGGATGACGGCGGGATCTGCGACTTGCGGGTTGGCTGCGATGAGGGCGTCGAGGGCGATGCCGTGGTCGTTGGCGATCTTCCACATGTAGTCGCCCTGCTGGACGGTGTACGTAGCCATTGCAGCGGTGGCCAAGCAGCAACTATTTAGATGCGACTGACGGCGATGTCTCCTTCGGCTCCTGGTCTTCCACTGTGTTTATCTATTTAGTTACTGATAGAGGCCTCTTTGAAGCAGCCATCTGGATCTATATTATTAACTACGGGTTATCCCACCACAGCCTCAGCCCTGGCTAGTTAAGCGCTCCACCCCCTGGCTATCAACAGCCAACGACTCGATAACGACAGCGACAGCCGCAGGGCGACGGTTCAGCCCACACGACAGCTCCTCGTCGGTTCCTCTCACTGCTGCGATAACTAACTAGTTAACATGCCAGAGTGACGCCACGGCGAAGATGTGCGCACGATCGAGATGTCGGTCGACCTCGCGATGGGCGCGGACAGAAAGTTGCGCCGATCTTCACAGGATGCGCAACCTCGGCTTGCACATGGAGTCGGTCCACAGCTTGCGATCTTGATTCTGGGGATGCGATGGGGACGAAGACTAGGAGCATCCGAAGTGTCGGCCGAGCAGCGATGGTTGCTATTCTATATATATGGGACGAGGCAGGGCTTGTTGGACGAGGTTGCTGGCCGCAGAACAGCTGGTTAACTAGTTATAGCCCAGGATCAGCATCGAGATGGCTTCAAAGGCAGTGTGGCAGGCGCCCGCGGGCAACAAGGGCTTCACAGACGCTGGGATAGTGATCATTGGCGGCGGTATCTCTGGTAAGAGGCCTTCTCTGGCGCTGCTCTGGCCATAGAGGACTTGCTAACTAACGTGTCTTGCAGGAATGTGCATGGCCATCAGCCTGCTCAAAAACAACATCCGCAACTTCGTTATACTGGAGAAAAGCGCAGGACTGGGCGGAACGTGGAAGGACAACAAGTATCCTGGCTGCTGCTGTGACGGTATGGCTGTCTGCCTCTTACCAGGTCGTTCTCTGCTGACCCTTTTCTAGTCTTCTCGCATCTCTACAGTTTCTCGTTTGCGCAGAACCCCGACTGGACCAGGTTATATCCCTCGCAGGAAGAGATATTGGTACGGCTCACTGTTCCACTTAAGCATCTATGCATCAATTGTTAATCGGATTATACGTGACAGAACTACCTGAATGATGTCGGAGACAAGTACGGCCTACACAGATATATACGCTTCAGCTCTATGGTAGAGGAGTGCCGTTGGAACGAAGACGAGAAGAAGTGGAAGACCACAGTACACGTTGAAGGCGCTAAGGACTCTGAATTCGGGGAACGATATACCATCTCGTCAGATTTCCTCCTCTCCGCTGTTGGTCAGCTAAACTACCCGCATTATCCTTCTATCCCTGGCATCGATGACTTCAAGGGCAAGCTCATGCACTCGGCCCGATGGGACTGGAGTTACAACATCAAGGGCAAAAAGGTGGGCATCATTGGAAATGGTGAGTCTTCTTCTTCCATTATTCTAGTAGTTACCCCCTGGCATTGGCTTAGCTTACGGTGTATTAATATTATAGGTGCTACGGCTGCCCAAATCATACCGGAAATTGCGCCAGAAGTATCACATCTCACGGTCTTCCAGCGCACCCCGAACTGGGTTGCACCTCGCCACGATATGTCCATGACTCTACCCATAAGATTCATGTTTAGATACGTACCTGGTGTCCTATCCAAGCTCCGTGCTCTTATAATGGATGTTCGTGAAAGCCTGTTTGCTTCCATCCTCAAGCCTGAGTCGCAGGTATCTGGCTACCTGAAGAAAATCAGCGTGTCCATGATGAAGCGACAGCTAGCGAACAAGCCGGAACTTTGGGAGAAACTGACTCCAAACTACCCCCCGGGCTGCAAACGTATCATCACCAGCGATGACTACTTCCCTGCTCTAGCCCGGGATAACGTCAGCCTTGAAACCGGCCATATTGATCGGATATCTGAATCCGGGATCGTGGCCGATGGCGTTGAACAAGAGTTCGATCTGATAGTACTGGCCACTGGTTTCCGTACAGTTGAATTCATGCATCCTATAAAGGTGTATGGTGAGAACGGCCGATCGCTCTCTGATATTTGGAAAAACGGTGCTCGCGGCTTGTACGGCATTACCATCGAGTCCCTACCAAACTTCGCCATGCTGTACGGGCCCAACACCAATCTCGGCCACAGCTCTATCATTCTCATGGTCGAGGCACAGACACGTTACATCTTGAGTATGTTGACCACCGTTCTTCGGTCCAAACAACGTGGCCGTACTCTCACCATCACACCCAAGGTTGATCGTATTGATGAATTCAACGAATCCCTGCAAAAGGACCTAGCTAAATCATCCTTTGCTCATCCAAACTGTACCAGCTGGTATAAGAACGAAGAAGGCTTGATTACTAACAACTGGTCCGGCAACGTACTGGACTATCAGAAGCTCCTGTCAAGAATCGACTGGACCGACTTCGATATGAAGGGAGACGACTCCGTCAAAGGCAGGACCTACACCCGCCTTGGCCGTGTCCGAGAGGAGTCGCTCATCGGACTCAAGACTCTATCTACTGCTGCTATTGCAGCCGCAGTTATCTATGGTGTGTCACGACGGTCACCGGATTTTTTCCCCGGGTTACTTAGATATCTTCACCTTTCTTGAGTACTTTTGCTGATACCTATTTATTTTTTTGGGATTTTACGGCCTTTCTTCATTTTGATGTAAGATTACGTTTGGTTTACTTCGATTGGATTTTACCAAGTAGAAATTTCATATCTATTCAACGAATTTTGGTTAAGTTCTTCCTGCCTAGTTGCATTTTTTTGAAGGCCCCTTTTCCTCCCAGAAAGAAACGATGGAAAACAATAACTACTCGTGATCAAACGCTGAAAATCATAGTGGAAGTCGATCGGAGATGATTGCAACGGAAAGGCCCCGCCTTGTTCCTTTTCTCACAAAAGCCACCAATGTATAACTAACTTCAATGGCCCTCTCGTTCAGTGAAGCCCGTTTCTTTGCCCTTCACTAGGCCAGTCAATCTGCTTTGGAGCTTATGTTTTTGCTCCTGTGCATCGAAGCTATACTGGCGAGATTTATGCTGGGGTCTCCACTCGCCTTGACGAAGCTGTGGACTTGATTCGGTGGATGAGATAGCTGACGAGGTGTGACCAGTGTTATGGTCGTGGACATTTGGAGCTTCAAAGCTGCCTGTCTTGGGCTCGTGGTAGAGTTGGTTCGCTTGCTCTTCGGTGATCATGGTTGGGGGTGATAACTAGCGAGTCGATGATTGTGGACTTGATTCAATGCTCTGGAATTCAGATTTTAATGAGCACACGACATCAGGAGGTCGACAAGCGAGCTCGAGCTCTTATATAGCTATGGCATGTCGGACGAAAAGGCTGGGGCTTTTCACTTTCCCCCAATTATGAGATCATATTCAGGCTCGCAGTGGCACAAGAAATCTGCGGGAATAACCTGATCCAGCACCATTGATTGCAGGCCCAGGTACTGGTACAGGTACTTACAGGGAGTTTGCTTAACTTCTTCTGGTCTCGCTACGAACAACGCGGGCTGCACCACCCTTCAAAAATTGAAGCATGCTCCCAATGAAGATATTATTGGCGACAAATCTTGCTCTCGCCAGGGCTTTTTTAGACACGCCACCGACTTCAACTATATTATAGCTGCGGTTATGTTCAGCGGGGGTAAAACGGCAACCTTAACTGTTCCGACTTTCATTTTCTGCTCCGGAAAGGTACGTACATGCTGATTTTTCAAGCCAGCGTCAACCAGATTAGTGTTTGCTGTCAATGCATAGAAGTAAAGTAGTTAGTTATGGAGACTTTGGGCGTCACCATCTGTGCACGGCCACGAGGTGATATCATGTCATGCAGAGTACGGCGTCAAGTCGTCGAGCTTGACGATTCTTCACCAATAGATGGTTAGAGCACTTTGGAGAAACACGCGTCTTACCTTTGCCATAAGAAAATTTTAATATTTCGTGTTATGGCAACTGCTTGTAGGAGGAATGTATCTGGCCACCACCAGGATAGATTCATAGGAATTGGACTCAAACTGTTTCTAGAAACAGGGCAGGAAAGCCGAGATTTCGCCTATATTTTATCATCAACTTAGCACAGGCCTCCCTTGAAGGAATGTTTTTGGATCCTTCACATCTGGGTCGTCTGAATCAGTCATACATCCATACCCCTTGGTACTGCTCGCGGTGGCAGCCCGGTTATAGCGAAGCAGATTCAACTCAAGTATAGAGCAAAAGATGCGGAGGGCACACCGTAGTGGAGGATCGTTGCATGCAGCCATAGCACCAAGAATATATCCCAGGCAGTAGTTATGGGGCAATACCGTCCTATCACAAGGATGGACTGGAGGATATAAATTGGTCCATAAATGGCTGACGCAACTAGTTAACTGTTGAAATTTCTGGCAGCTTATGCATCATGTATTTCTACTGCTGCCGATAAGAACAGATGAATGATGAAGAATATTGAAAATGAAACAAAACTTCGATGTCGTCGCTTTTTGCCCTTTTGGGCCTGAGAGGGTGGCATGGCCGCTTTAGTGCTCGTCGGGTAGGGCTGTTAAAGCGGCCAGCGGTTGATTCCACGTTGACTCTACATATGTAGTTGTATTTTTATCCACATAAATCAACTGGAATTATACAAATCTCGTTATCTCCAGCCTCAGCCCTGTAACACTAGCAACAAGAACAACCTAGGTTGGTGCTCTGGAAAATGACACTAGTCAGTGCTTCAAGTGGTCAACTAGGTAGTCTTTGCCAGGTATCGCAACAGAGACCAAAGTACGGAGTAGTCGTCTTGAGGATTTGGAAGCCCACAGAAGAGTTGGTTGGCTCTCCACCGCGAAGCTAACCCAGTGGTTACCAACCTAACTAAGCGACCATCTAGTTATTAGATTCTACAATTTCAACAGATTTATTATTGCTGTTGTTTTTCTATCGTTGACGTTGTTTCTCTATCAGCTAAAAAATTACATTGGGTGGCTGACTAAGATGTAGCTTACTAAGACACAGCTTACTAAGATTTGGCTGACTAATCATGTTACTTGTAGCAAAAATAGAAGCGAAAAATATTTAATAATGAGGAATTTTGGTTAATATTTTCAATCTAGATCTAGATAGTGGTAGAACTAATGCGTATTCACGCCCTGGTAGCCGCTGTATAAATTAATATAGTAGTTATGTGTGGGTTGTGAGCCTGTGGGAAAAGTGCAGGAATAGTCATTATTGTAGCTAATTTGTGTGTCCAGCCGGTGACCTCACCCAAAAGTGTTGCCGCCAAACTAGTTAACTAACTAGTAGTTAATCTGGACCACCGACAGGTTCCATTCCCATCTTCCAGCCTACTCACGCTCTGGACTCCGGAATTGCCTATCTCTCTCTCAGCTTGCTGTTCGCTCAGATCTTTTTGCCTAATGTGGCACATAAGTCTCGCGTTTCGTTTCCTTCCACGTATCTTTGAAGAGCCGGGGAACCTCGTTGTACCGTTACCAGGGCGGGATCTAAGCATCTGTGGGCGGAGACCATGGAGCGCGCAAGAAAGAGTACGCTGAATCTTGAACGGCGTTTCGCCGTATCTGGCAGGCATCATTACGAGATCATAGCTAATCTATCGTGACAGGAGAGCTCCGGGATCTAAACGCGCTCGTTTGGGCAGGAGAGACAGGTATCGTCATATCGTCATATCCGAAGCTTGGAGGGCCGCTCTTATACCAACGCCAGGTGCTAACTTGAAACTCGATGCTGGATTATTACAGATGTCTTTGAAGTTAGCAAATCTCTAGATTCTTCGCTGAAGAAGAACACAGCCTTTATCAAACGACTTCGCACAGGAATCACTGCCGCAGGTCTTCCCACCTTCATAACCGATGTTCGCTCGCTTTCGCTCCATAAATACCTCTCAGAAATCATATCCGCTTTTTATGAAGGTCTCTGCAAGCTCAAGACACCGGGAGAAATCGCCGCGGGTGTTGAAATTGCCAGCGCAATCCACCAGCGTTTTGGCCCGGATGAGTTTACCAAACGACTGGCGTGGAGCTTGGGTCGCGGCCTTACCTCACCGGATAAAGCACAGCTCAAAGCCTGGACGCCAGAGGTCCGTGAAAGGGAAGAAAAGGAACGTCTATCCCGGCACAGGGTTCTCCTCCGTGTGGTAACAGAGTTCTGGCTGGTTGGGCTGCTTCGGACTTTAGACGATGTAGAGAGACCGGATGATTCTATGCCAAAGTGCAAGGACTCGGTGCCAACTTTGGGTGGGAAAGGTGCTGATGGAAGCTCTAAGCCTCGCCAGTCTCAGTCCGCGAAACCGAACCAGGACAGGGATGAAGAACCGTTTCCCCTTGAAGTTTTAAAGGATTTGCTTGGCTACGATCGAGAACACGTCAATTTGCCTTTAGCTCTACTATTCGCTAGAACGTATAGCTGGGATATATTGGGAATTAAGACACTCGAGGAGGGAAGAAAGACAGTAGAGACGAACGGAACCACTACAGATACCTCCAAGGAAACACAAGGCGGTACATCCGGGGATGAAGCAGGTACAAACACAGTTCAGCTTGATGATCCTCCCCTCGTCCCCGAAAAGCTTCAAACGCGGTTTAAAAATGTGTTAAACAGATACCTTGAAGATGTGAAGAAGCATGTTAGTCGAGACCAAAAGGCTCTTGCAAATCAGAGTCGCCGAAATGCAGAGGCATACGTGAAAAGCGGCGAGATCCTCGAGGATCGGCAATCTAATTTCGAGAAACAGACAAAGGCACATGAGAAATTGGTGTCCAATACCCAATCACTATGTGAGATTTTGGGCGTTGAAATGCCTGACTTGGCTGAAAAAGATGCGTCTGATGGCGCAATGAGTGGCAGCATAGGCCTTGTAAAGACTGGCGAATACCTTCGTGGTCAAGGTGAAGGGGCTGGTATCTGGGAAGATGAAGAAGAGAGGCGCTTCTACGAGAATTTAGCGGATTTCAAGGGGAAAGTCCCCGCTGTGCTCCTGGAAGACGGAAAAAAGAAGAAAGCAGACGGAGACGACCAGTCTAAAGTGAAACCTGATTCGGAAGGACAAAATGGAACTGCAGCCCCTGAAGGCACCAGCAAGCCAGATTCACAAGCAGCTGATTCCAGTGCGCGGGAACCAGAAGAGTCCGGTACCACTATTGCCAACAAGTCAGTTGGAGCTCAAGTCGATGCACTGCTTTCTAAGCTTCCTGAGCTGGCCAACAAGGAAGCTGTTGATCAATTAGCTCTGGATTTTTGTTTCTTGAACTCGAAGGCCTCTCGAAACCGACTGGTCAAAGCTGTTCAGGAAGTGCCGAAGGGCCGTTCCGATCTCTTACCTCTCTACGCTCGCCTTGTTGCTACTCTAGGCCAGTATCTTCCTGATGTGCCTCAGGGCCTAATCACATATCTGGACGACGAATTCCGCAGCCTTCAACGCCGCAAGCAAAAAGAATTCCTGGGTCAAGTTCGTACAAGCAACATCAGATACCTGGCTGAGCTCACTAAATTCGGCGTCGTTCCCGAACACGTTATATTTCATTGCTTCAAAGTCAGCCTGGACGAATTTTCCCGTATGAACATCGAGATCATAGGAAATTTGTTGGAAAACTGCGGCCGGTATCTCCTCAGAAACCCCGAGACAGCTCCCCGAATGGCATCGTTCTTAGAAACACTTGGACGAAAGAAATCTGCCCAGCACCTTGGACAGCAGGAACGAATGATTATTGAAAATGCCATGTACTACGTCGACCCTCCACCGAGACCAGCTATCCAGCAAAAGGAGCGTACGCCAATGGAGCTGTATATTCGAAAGCTTATATATCTGGATATGAACAAGCGGAACTACACCAAGATTTTAAAGGCTATTCGCAAGTTACACTGGGAGGAACCCGAGGCAAGCTGCTACTTTTATCCATCATTTCACTTCTTCAAGGATACTAACTTGGTTTCAGGTTGTCAACATCCTCGAGCGTATATTCAGCAAACCAGGAAAAATTAAGTACGGAAATATTCATCTACTTGCAATCATCATCAGCGCACTATATCGCTACCACCAGTCCTTTGTGATTGGCGTTATCGACAATGTCCTTGAGAGAATCACCATCGGTCTAGAGAACAATGATTTCAAATTCAATCAGTCACGGATTTCAGAGGTCAAGTATTTGGGAGAACTCTATAATTACAAGATGGTTGACTCACCAGTGATCTTCGATACCCTCTACCGTATTGTTACTTATGGACATGGTAAGCTGGCCAAGGCCCTACTAGATTATAAGTGCCCTTTTTACTTTGCTGATGCGTGGAATCAGAGGGTGGGACACCATCTCCGGGAAAAATAAACCCGCTTGATATGCCAGATGATTATTTCCGTATTCGTCTAGTGTGCACCATACTAGATACCTGCGGTGTTTGTTTCGACCGAGGAAGTGCGAAGAAGAAACTTGACTTTTTCTTAACATTTTTCCAGGTATATACCCAAGATTTCGGCCAAATGGTGGAATGCCATACTAACTAATGAAATTTAAGTACTATCTACATACCAAGGATCCTATACCTATGGATGTTGATTTCGTCATCCAAGACACATTTGCCTTGACTCGACCACAGTGGAAATTTGCTGCTGACTTTACAGAAGCTACCAAACTGTTTGCGGAGGCGGTTGCACAGAACTACCAAGTGCAAGAGACTGACAAAGCTCCAGAACCAGAAGATGAGGCGGAGAGCTCATCGTCTGATGAAGATATTGAAGATGACGGAGCTCCTGATATCGAAGAGGTCTCTACTGATGAGGCAGAGGTATGCCCTTCTCGAAGCCTGCTTCATTACCGTCAAACTAACCCCTATCTTATAGGTTACCGCTAATGAGCCAGATGATGAAAACGAATCCGAGTCAGAAGAAGAGCAGATCTTTGTATCTCGTCAAGAGGAAGAGCGTGATCCTGAAGCTGAAGCTGAATTTGACAGAGCCTTCGAGAAGATGGTATCTGAAAGTGTAGAATCCCGAAAATTCGAGCGCAAAACGATGTTCGACGTCCCCCTACCCATGAGACGTGCAAATCCCCGCGAACCTGCTCAAGTTGAAGAGACCAAAGAACCATCCCCGACGCCTTCCAGCACGATGCCCTTCTCCCTTATGACCAAGCGTGGAAACCGCCAGCAGGTATGCTCAAATTCTACATGAACGTTCCCAGGCTATGTTGCTAACTTTGAGTGTTAAGACACGCACTATCGACCTCCCTTCGGACTCCAGTTTTGCAGTTGCAATGAAGACTCAGCAACAAGCAGAGCGCGAGGAGCAACAACGAATAAAAAATCTGGTTCTCAATTATGATCTTGGTGACGACAATGATAGCAATGATGGTGATAGCAACAGTTCCCCAACCCACCACTTTATTCTACGACCGAACACCAATGCTAAAGGCTCACTCAAAGGTTCCGACAAGCGAACGTCATCGCACCGCGATTCAAGAAATGATAAATCAGCCCGGAGTGGATTCCGTGCTCGTAAATTACAACTGAGCGACGTTGACTGGTATGATTAGTGATTTACAACCATGGCACCAATTGCACTAAGAAAATCAAAACTCCCGTACCTCCTATAAAAAAAGAAAAGGAACCAAATATACGGCAGTTGAAATTTTTTTTGGATATCAAAGTGCTAATTTACTTGCTGTGCGTTTGGCCTTGAGTGGCCTCGCGCTCAATAAATTTGTCTTTAGGACTTGATACGCTTTCCCAAACGATCATCGAGTTTACATGACTTATCCCCATTTCACATTGATGATACTCCATCAGTCAAGCCTTGGGCCCGTCAACATAGCTATCTCCTTGCCTTTCTATGCATTCATGGCTGGGAAACGATTCGAAACCGCCCGAATGATCGACAACCAACATTCGAAGCATGTGACGATAAGTGGCTACTGTGGTTGACATGGCAATAAGAGTGCAAAATTGGCCCCTCAATGCAGACTAAGCAGCTTTCACTGCCGTTTACGGTGTAAGCTTGGTTCCTGCTGATAACCATATCAAAGGGGTCCCAGGGATATGCTATGAGTGCGCTACTACTGGCAGCAATGACAAGAAATAACAGATGTTATATTTCTTTGTGCATTCTTCTATTTTATCGACCTGCAGTCCCTGGCCTTTGATGTCATATCCTTTGGCTTTTAATTGCAAACATCCCCCGTCAAAGAAGTTCTAGGAAAGCCACTTTACCCGAGCCATGGTATACTAGAGAGCCTAGAAAATCCATGAAATAAACAAACTGGACAGGAGCATCCCCGAAGCAATTGTTACTCTCTGTTATACAAGCAGATATGCCTACCAGCGAGTCTAATAATAATACTGTGAACAATTTTAGCAATAATGGCGTGAGCCAATCTACCTATTACTACAGAAGATAATTTCTGATAGTTGAAATCATTTCGTCTTCCATGTAATCTTCCCAGCGCACTCGAACAGCCACTCGATCTAATCCTGGCCCGAAATTTCCGAAACGTAAGGGCTGCGGTCTGGCATTCGCTCTTTCTAGGCAATCAGATGGCTCGTATCCATGCCGGCGATCTATGTCTTTACATATCTCCTCGTGTGTTCTCCTTTCAACGGGTGCAGAAGCTAGCGAACTTATGCGCCAGAGGCTCTTGTGGCAGCTAAGCATCTCCAGTCGGTAAATGAGGGGAGAAGGGCATATTTCGAAGTAACTAAAAAAGTCGAAAATGAACGGGTCCAGGAGAGAACGTATCTGTCTAGTATTATATCCCACAAAGTAGAGGCGCCTTAAAGCAGGTGCATGAGCCAGTACGCTCCATACTGTAGTCTAAATGTAGTAAACTAAGCGTAAGCATGCACACGATAAAGGCTTAAAGGAATAATTGGACAGTGACAAATGTACCTGGATTTTTCTGAGCAAGGGAAATCCCAGCTCCTCTAACTTAGGGCATGCTCCAATCAGTAGGTGAAGGTTTCTGACGAAGAGCCCAATGTCAATTACAAATTCCATAATCAAAAGTATCCTAAGATTCGAGAAGTAGAAGCCGATATATCCAAAATCCGCGGATTTCCGGCTACCCATGAGATAAAGCTCCTCAATTGAGTTAAAGGGCCGGAGATAACTCACAGCCCCTGCCATGTAGATATTGGTTTTAAGCCTTTTCAGGGTAACACGCCTCGACCGCAAATAAGTCCAAGGAGAAGGATAATGCACATCGAAGTTGAATGAATGGATGAGGGAAAAGTTCTTGATAGCAGTGAAATCAAAGACCTTAGCCCATTCTTCGATAACTAGGTGATTGCAAAGTAGGATTTCCAGGGTATGTAGGCGAACAAAGCCATCAGTTTTTGAGATTTTTGAGAGACCCCTTGTTACTGAAAGAAGGAGGTCTTGAGAATAGGCGGCAGAGGTATTATACATTCGGGGCAGAGGCCTAGGACAACCACTATCCTCTTTGATCAGCCCAAGCCTGAGGACTCTAATCGTCCCTCGTACTTCCACTAGGATTTTCGATATGTCTTTTAGGCTTCGAGCATAGGGTATTCCAAATATTGATAGCTCTTTCAAACACTTAAATGACGCATGACGTAGCTCAGGGTACGCATTTGATAAGACCTTATCTTTTCGGGCATTTGAAAGAGGCCTGGGATAGAGATAATTGAAAGCTTTGACATTCTCCTGAAGCTTGAAGACCTCTTTGGTGGGGTATATGCAATCGGCCGTCCAACTTTGAGAGACAAGAATAAAACCCTTCTATTAGCACGGTGGAGAATGGAATAGGGTCATACCCTGCCAGGGGTAAATCTCACCAGAAACTCTGCAATTTCTTCACCTTAGTGAATAGGGTAGACAGTATGTCGTGTAATTGAATGCGTTCCGAGTTCAACCGAGCCACATCCGGTTCGGTTGATTGTTTTCCGCCAACTCTCGGGAAGCTCCCGTAGGAATTTCCGCGAGTGCCCCTTACCGCAATCTTCCTAACCCATTCAGCCTGTCCCGATCTATTACGAGCTATACTTCGAAGGCAGTTTAACCATGGAGGCTCCTTAGTATCCAAATATTTCCCGGGTTCGTCTCCAGGTGGAATAACAAGGTTAATATATCTGTAAAGGATGGGCACTGTCAGTGAATTCGAACATCGGCAAGTTAGACAAAGAGAGACTAGGTCAGAGCGTGAATGGATCTGTTTTATGGTTAGTCGTGCGAGATCCGTCAATCAAGGGATAAAGAGCGCAATAAAAACATACAAACGATGCTATCTCTAAGTATAACTCATAAGGAAGATATAGCAGGGATCTTGTGAAGGGTACCGAATCCATTTTGGTTCTCCGACTTCAAGGAATCCAATGACATAGGTGAGGGTGGTTATAGCTATAGAAACCAAGCACCAACAGATGATGCGATATCGTTGACACCATGCGCCGGAGCCAGCCTTCGCATGCGGTCTCTCGTCCGCGGGTTGGAATCCAAAGCAAGAAGGACCGTTGGAGGTTGTAAGGTTCTTTCCGCGGTTCGAAAGAGTATATCAACAAAACGTTTATTTTGAACCCGCCCGTAGGGATATAGAGCCTCATCAAACATGGTAAAAACAATCTAGATTGGACGGGGATCCTCAAATGAAGGGATCTGGGCATCAAAGACAAATTCCCTAGTCAAGATGCCCTGGTACATCAATGGTGCAGGGGGCTCAGCACTCTATATGTACTATGAGCGGAAGGCACGGAGATTGCCAGATCGACTAAGCCCTCGACCGGCAATAGAAGTGTTTCGAGTCCTTGAGAGCATACTTTCATCTGGAAAAGTTTGATTCATCTAGTTTCAAGCTCGGTGCTAGCTCCACGGTAAAGAGTACTGGGGCTGAAGTTTCGACCTTGACCAAGTCTGCTCTGATATGGTTGCTCGTACTTAAATTACCACCGAATTCCGTTTTCCAATCACTCACATCCCATTCGAGGCCCTGTGTGGATATGATTGACGGACCTCCGAAGGGGATAATTCCTATATTTTCTGAGAAATAGGCTTGCTGGTCTGCATTGTTTGTTTGACGACCACTTAGCCCAGCGCTGGCTTCTTTCTCTTTCCCAAAATACGAGCCGCCAAAGGTCTGTATTACGTTGTTCCCCGGGCGTAGAAAAAAGGAGATGCTCTCCTCGGAGATGAGATATAATTCACCATTTGGCCGCCTGATCTGTTCCGAAGCAGATGCAGTAGTACAGAATAGGTGGTGGATTTGGGCAAACCCTTGGTCAACACGCCCACCTAATCCGCCAAATATGACAACATCTAAGGCTTTGGACGAATTATTAGAGTAGCTGCCGGAACCATTATCGCTATGCTGGCAGGTGGTATTGACAATATCACTGCAGTTATCTGCAAGATAACTAAGACATTTCATAAAATCCGTTGAATATTGGTCTGGGTTCTCAATAATAAGTACTTCCATGCTCTGGTAGTGTTTTCGAACATCCGGGTGAATAGAATCAAGATCTCCAACGATAGCATTGGGAAGCTGTTCGAGCAGTTAGATATGGTACATACGATACCGGCCAAAGAGAAAAATACACATATCATATGGAGATAACATATATTTTTGATAACTTGAGTAATCCATACCTCAGTTTTCTCCAGACCAAGCCTTTTCATGACATGATAATACCGGTTTGCCCCACCATCCGCGCAGATGGTAAAACATGCTATCAAACCCAGTTAGCTTTCACCAAGAGGAATCTCTGCATTACACCCTGAGATATTGGGTGAGCTGGGAGGTACCAGCATCTCACCGTACCATGTCTTTTTAGTAGCCTCAAGGCGTTATGATTGACAGGTTGGTTTAGAATTAGTAGAGCATATGGTGCCGGGGGAAGCGAGTCCTCAAAAAACCGAGCAGGATGCCATTCCATCGTATTTAAACCAATCTCTCAAACTTGCGGCTAAATAAATATCAAAAATCGGGTATCTCAAGTGTGTTTGTCTTTGTGACATCTCTTCAAAATATCTACTGGATGCTCGGCGGTTTGATATTGCCTAAAAGGGACCGGGATCTTCGGCATATGTTTATCCGATAATCTTACATAATCACCAATTTTCGCTCGCTCTTGATTAACAATCTTGAAGACGACGAGACGAAGACGACGATATCAAAAGCACTCTAAGCCGAGTCCCCAACTCGCTCTCAATTCAATGAGTTTATTTTATATTTGATTTCCCATCTCCTGGTCTGTTAGATTAATTTCCCTTCGTTCCCCGCCTCTCTTCACCATGTTCCGATCCGCGTCTAGGACACTGCTCCGTGGTACACCTGCACAACAACTACGATTTGCGCAAAGCCGAAGATGGATTAGCGATGCATCGTCGCCAGTACAGAAGAAGCAGGGATGGAGAAGTACGGTGGTGAGATGGGGTCTTGCTGCCGGTGCTGTTTACTACTACAACACAAGCCCCATATTTGCCGAAGAACCTCCCCGTAAGTCCATGCCTGGCAGGCGTTAGATAAAATATCAATCGGTGGATTGGCTGACATTGATGGCAATGGTAGTCGAGATTGCTCCCGGATCCCAATATAAGACGCAAGATACAGCTGTTTCGCAAACAATTGAGTCTCTAGAGGCGGCGAAAAAGACCAAGCCTAAGGCACGACCCGCTCCTGTCACTTCGGAAGTTAAGAAGTCATCGCCTGAGGAGACATCAATAGGTGCCGCTGCTGAGACTGGTGCTCCTATTTCTGGGGGGGAGCAACCGCCTGTTCCTGCCCCAAGCGATGCCGAGCAGGAGGGCGAGGAAGGCCAAGAGGCGGCGTTTAACCCGGAAACCGGCGAGATCAACTGGGACTGCCCTTGCCTAGGCGGCATGGCCCATGGGCCCTGTGGAGAGGACTTCCGGGCCGCATTCTCATGCTTCGTGTATTCCCAGGAGGAACCCAAGGGAATGGACTGCATTGACAAATTCAAGTACGTATTCACTGTCGTGACTCACATAGTAGGTAGGGTAAATGCTAATTGGTGCTATCTAGGGCCATGCAAGATTGCTTTAGACAACATCCCGACGTCTACGGAAATGAACTCGACGACGAAGAAGTTGATGCGCAATTAGACGAACACATTGCTTCGGAGAAACTGGCTGAGCAGAAGGCGTCTTCGGAATCGTCCGAGGCTGCACCTGCAGCTGTCCCGGAACCCTCCCAGTCAGAGTCCACATCCAGCAAGGATAAGCTGCAGGAGGCCGTCTCAAAGGAACTAGAAGCCATCCAATCGAAGGCCTCTAAGGAGTAAACGGGAATAATGATCCGAGGCCGTTGCCAAATGTCGAATCTTTTTGGCCCCAGATACATACCTTCGCTACATGCCGTTTTGGTGAGGAGCGTAACTGGAGGGAAAGCTGTGCGTATCTATCTAGATGGAGACTCGGTCGACGGTGTAAAACAGCGCGTACTGTACAACTAGATATATAAAAGAGCGGAAACGAATAGATTATTTCATGTATTATAATAAATACTACTTACTTTGAAAAGGGGGTACTTAACTGTTTTGCATCATAACCGTTTCGTCGAGGAATAAACATCATAGGAAGTTATCGTGACGGTCAAAACCAACATCTCCCCCGCAAGCTATATTCAGAGGGCAAGACAAGACACGAGTAAGTAGCATTGAGTCAGAGTCCTAGAGATGAAAGGGGGCTAAACACCGAGCCAAACCAATAATCAAAACGCAGCCAATACATAAACCGACCTATAGGGCAAGGTAAGACAGGGGAGGGAATAGAGGAATAGGAGAGGGCAGTAGGGTACGGGAGGGAATAGGGGAGAAGGTACACGAAGAAGGAGGTGGATGCGGGATTATATATATAACAATAGTCAAGCCGGTTTCTCCGTCTATTCGGCAAGGACCAGCATCATGTAGATAGGGCAAGGCAAGGGAGAGAGACAGACATCCGAAGGGAAAAGCAGAGAACCGATTTAACCCGTTTCCAACGAAGACAAGAAAAGAGCGATAACGCAAAGCAACCAGAACCAGCAGAGCATGTGAAGACGCCGTGAATCAAGGGGAACGGGGAAGAGATGGGGGGAGGGGGATAAAAGTCGATTCGAAGAAGTGTATAGATGCACCGACATATCTAGCGATTGTCAAGGGCGAGCTAGAAGCCCTGATTTGACCAGAAACCCAATCGATTCCGGGGATGCATTCAACTTCGAGTCAGGAGAGGCGGAAGAAAACAGCCTGTCCTGTTTCCTACTTTCTCAAGATGGCTTCGTACAGGCTTCCTAGGGTACAGATGGCAGAGCCGGTGAGTAGGCCCTGCAATCCCCATGGAACAGCACTGACAACTTTCAAAACAGAAGTCTGGCTGAACAGGTTCCAGAAGTTGAACCCGCTCCCGTACACTATGGAGGCAATCAAGGCTTTTGCCACGTTGAACACCAAGGGATCACCGCAGACCTTTCCCTTGTCCTGAGCCGCAGCTACAGCTGCGGATCGACGTGTGGTGGGAGAGGTAGACTGGCTCATCTTAAGGTTGATGTCGAAGAAGTACGCGATGATAGACGGCAGGACAACACTGGTGGAAGCCCAGAGCAACAGGGGAGACCAGAAGGCTGGCTGGAAAGTGTTGAACAGGTCTGGTATATTGTGGGTGCAGGCAGAGGTGTTCAGGGCCTCGATGGCAGGGAAAGTGAACTTCCTCCAGGGCATGATAGCATTGATTACGCTGGACAGCTCAAGAATGAGGATCAAGGTCTGGATGGTTGAGGTGCTGCTGAGCAACGAACGCAGACTGTGCGTCCGCTCGGTCATGCCAGACTGGTCCCATGCTTCAGATACAGACTTGCGGACTCTGGTGGTCTGTCTGTCAATCGCGTCCGTTACCACTGCCGGAGAGGGTGGTAGGGAAGGGAACTTGATGGCTGGACGCGAGGGGGTCTGAGTGGCAACCGGAGCCGGCTCGGGTGCAGGAGAAGACTTGGGCGAAGACTCATCCGAGTCGTCCCTACAGCTTGTTAGTATCTATCCATCTAGCTAGCTAGCTGCCGACGCCATTTTCAGGGTAAGATATAAACACGCACGTTGCTTCGACTTCTTCCTTTGGCTTGACGGATCGTCTACGCGTCGAGCGCTTGACCGAGCTGGAGCCGTCGAACGAAGTCACCTCGACCTTTGGCTCCTTTTTAATCGGCGATCCACGCGGCGGCCTGGCCAGTCTCTCGTAGTAATCGCTCAGCTTCGACTCGCTGGCGAGACGGTTCTTGTTCTGCGACAGATGGGAGTCCAGCGCAGCTTCGAGCTCGGTCTTCTTCATGTCCGCGAAACTACAGCAAAGTCAGCATCAGAACAACCTCACAGGGCAAACACCAGCTCCCTCCATACGCCGACGGCCAAGGTATACGCACTCCTTCATGTCCGACAGCTCGGCCAGGGTGACGAGGTCGCTCTTGCGGAGCGCGCGCAGGTAGGGTAAAGCAGCCGACATGGTGCAAAGATGTTGGTACCGACTGGATCGCGAGGGGTATGCGACTCGGTCTAGAGTGGTTCTGGCGCTGCGAGAGCTATATATATGCGTGTGTGCGTGTTTCTATCTGGCGAAAGCAGGGCGGACGGGGTGGCGGGTGGTTGGTGGTTGAATAAAAATAATCATAATAACACGACGGGGTTTCTTTTTTGTTGTTTACATTTTTGCGGTCGGCTTTTTGCGTTTAGCGCGTCACTAGTTCCCGATTGGGACGACAACAGCCGCCCCCGGCATATAAAGAAAGACGGCCGCGACAAAGATGGGCGCGCAGGCAGGATAAAGGGCTGATGGACTCTTCATGAGACGCGGATTAGGTGTATTGTACAAGCAGGTCTTCTTTCAAAAAAAATATACAGGCCAGATGCATAAAAACAAAACCCAGGCCTTAGATCTATGTATTTTCCTTCTAAAGGGCCGTCCATTTTCCCCCCTCCCCCTTAACGCCAGCGCCAGAGCCCGTTTCTCGCCCGTGGGAAAATCGAGTGGACATTGTTTATGCAGTTGGAATATTATACTGCGGTTATGTGTGGTTGGTGAGTGGCAGTTCATTCAAATCGAGGTACTTCGGAGCTCGCGGAGCTGCTGGTATGACTCGAGCTGCTTGAGGAAGTACTGGTACAGCACCAGCATGGTGCCGCTCTGGATGCTGGTCCAGAGGAAGCGAGGGCCGACGCCTCTGAACCAGCCGGCCACCCCTTCAGTTTTATATATTAGTTTCAGGCCCGTTAGAACCGAGGAGGTGTCGAGGATGGCGGCACCGGGTTTAACTGTGGATGTGGAAGGTGATGAAGTTGAGATGAATCGTGTTTGAGCGGAGGATTTCGAGGTGGAGGTTGATGGTGACGACGGTGCATGAACATGGCCATTCGGGGTGACAGTCGGTCGTGGAGCAGCGTCTGGATTTTGCTGTGTTTGTATCCGGGTCTTGACCACGTCCAGCGGACAGGTGATCACACCCGCCATACCACCGGCCGTAGCAGCCGTGAGCACTTCCAGCTGGAACCCGATATCCCGATGTCCAACCCACCGCTTAGCCAGCTGCTGCTCCTGCTCGTAGAATGCAAACTGCAGTGCCGAGAAGGGCATGTCACGGAACAGCGTTGCCTTGAAGCCGGAGAAGAGGGCAAAAAAGCCTTCGGTGCGCAATATCGTTCGGAAGGCATCTGCCGTAGATCTATAGTTGTATCCCGATTTGAAGAACGGGTTATTATATCTGCCCTGAAGCTGTAGCCGGGTCTTCAGCACTTCGGACGGAACGTATATAAACGACGCAGCAAAATCGGCAATGAATCCTGCACATATTAGTTAGCGGTGCACTCCCTTAAACTTATGCATGGGAAAGCTTTGGACATACCTCCGGCCAAATATGCAATTGACGGATTTATGCCAACGTCCAACATCCACCGCTTGCTGCACTCGTATGTGCCGAAGAAAATAACGGTGCCTGGGAACGAGCCGCATAACGCAGGAGTGACACCGCCGTACAATCCCCTCCGGATCCCCTCCTGGCGGAAAATGGTAGCGTACGAGGAGGACATGGAGGTGTATTTGGGCGGTATATGCGGATCCCCTTGCTGCCTGGTCTTGACTGTATCGAGCGAATGCATCAGCATGTCGCCGCTTGTGCCGCCAATTCCGCCCGCAATCATGCACTGTTACAACCAGTTAGCCAAGGGAACCAGCCCATTGAAAGTCAGATAATGAATATATATTCGGTGTTTTTCTTTTCGTACGTGTAGATATGGCGGCCGGACCGCCTCCTGGGGCTCTGCATGCTGTGCGTGTGCTGTGTTCATCCTCTCGCCTACGTCCACGAGCCGGCCATCCTGGAGACCGCCCAGGCCCATCCCTGAGCTCGAACCGGACGAAGATGCAAGGCTCGATGAGTCTGAGGCCGCGAAGAAGTCTGTCATCCGCGACACCAGACTCATCGCCTTCTGCCTGCTGTCGCTGTCGCCGCCGTCGTCTTCGTAGTCGTCGCTGCGTAGTCGTAGTCCGGGTTGAAGGGTTGAAGCTGTTGGTCAAGGTAGATGCGGGAGGCAGTTTCAGCAGCAGCGAGACAGGCCAACAATCAGCCAGACGGAATTCTATAACAGACAAATAACAGCCATCCGAGCAGAGAAAGAAAGAAATCAAACCAAAAAGAAATCCCAACTTCTTCGTCTTCTTTTTTGCTTCTCTTTTTTTTTCGACGTTTTTTTTTTTTTTTTTTTTTATTAAGAAATCAAAAATTGAAAATACTTGATGACTAATCTTTAAAGGATAATGGTTTATCCGTCTTACTAATCAAATTCAACCAATCACAGATCTTCTTCGCACTTTGGAGCCGGACATTAGTCGAATTTGATATTCGATTTATCGGCGTTAAAAAAGACGAAGGATTACAGGGAAGAAGTCGGAGATAGCAGCCGGCGATGGCGTGTTTCTCCGTCTCTTAGACATCTGGTCGGCTAGTGTTCGGGTGGTGGTTGTGGGATAGATATGTAGGTAGGTAGAATGTATATTCATTGATTTGATAGACAAAAGCTGGAACATCAAAGGAGAAGGCAAGACAAGGAAAAGAAGGATAGCTCATGACACCTCTTCATTAGCATTAGGTACACAGGTATGTCCATGTTCTTTTGTCATTTGGTTGCGAGGCCGTGGCAGAGGAGTTGGTAGAAAGGGGGAAAGTAGCGTAGCGTAGCGTAGCGTAGCATAAGAGGGGGGAGAGGGAGGGGGTATTTTTGCAGGAGGGAAGCACGATTCTATTTATTGGTCGTGGCTTCGGAGGAAGAATCTCAGACGGCCGATACTCCATGCTTGAATGATTTTGTCCTTTTTTTTTATTGGGTGGTTCTTTGTTCGGGTAAGGGGATAGGCCTGGTAGCAAGGCCAGGGAATTTTGCTTTTTTGGGGGAGTAGATATGAAGATATGGTTCACGTAACGTCGTTTGATATGTTTTGTTGAAAACTGCTCAAACACAGATACTAGAAAGTATGCATGTGATAAGCTTCGACGGGGCCAAATAGTTTCATAAAAAACCTAAGCTGACTGCACCGCCCGCCATGTCTCGAGAACAAAAAAAGCATCTCGTCTACTGTGGCTTCTTGCCGGGACCCTGCTGCTGCTGGAATCGAGCGAGATATGGCTTCAGGTCGGTAACGGTGTACAGCCGTCGAACCGCATTCTTGACAACCTCCCATCCCTGGCGGACAGCTGGCGGGGTACTCTGGTGGGAGAGCATGGCATCGATCCTGGCCGTCGAATGGGCGACCACGGCCTGGACGAACGAGCTCTGCGTGTACCGAGAGCGGAAGAACCAGAAGTAGATGACGAGCAGCAGCCAGCTTCCACTGCTAAAGGTCAAGGCGGTGAAAATCAGTCTGATCAGCAGCGAGAGCTCCAGGGCGGCAACCATGGCCATGCTGGTGTCGTAGTATGTCTTGACGAAACGGCCGATCTGATCTGCCAGGGGGGATGATTTGGCGGCGGCCGGTCTGCCGGAGGGCGAGGCTGGACCGGCATCAGGGGAGGGCTGGAAAGTCGGGATCAGGTACGTGCGGGTGTATGTGGCGACGTGGAAGAAGGAGTAGATAGCGAAGGGGAGCAGGGCGAAGAGCAGCTGGCGCGAGCACAGCCAGACAAGGGCCATTCCTAACATTGTTAGTATAATAATCCAATATCTCGTAAAATATATATATATATGAGTGTGTGCGTGCGTGTGTGCGTATGTTTGTGCGCCCTACCGAGATACTGGACGTTCTCGTCGCCGGCAAGCTTGATGATGTCGTTTGGAATGCTGCCTCCGAGCCGGCCGCGGGCAACGTAGCCCTTGTAGACGACGATGCCGTAGGTAGCAGCGGCCGCAACGAAGGCGAAGCGGTACGAGCCCTGGGCGACGGTGGTGTAGGTGCTGAAGGTGATGCAGGAGAGCAGGTAGCGGAACACGGCGAGGATCAGCGTAAAGTGCCTACACCGTCAGCTTCTCTTCTCTATCTCTTCTTCGCTGTCTCTTCTTTATCTTTTTCTTCTTCTCGTCTTCTTTTCTCATCGCCGTCTTCTGAAGAATCCCACGGGGTGGACAGGCAGCCCTCAGCAGCACACGACATACCCTATGAACCACGCAAATCTGCAGCCGTCAGCATCGACACTCTATATAGCTGGAGCAAGCCCCAGAGAACCGCAATCATCACGAGAAGGGCCTTACTGGAGCGTCTGAGCCAGCATCTTGAGCCGCTCAAGCAGCGGCAGCGTCGCAGGCGGGGGAGGAGCCATAACGAGCGATTCCACAGAAGAAAATACAGGATAAGCAAAGTGAAGCAAAGAGAAAAAAAAAAAAAGACAGGTCGAGCAGCGTAAATCGAGTCGTCTTGCAGTCTAGCTGTATGTCTGTCTGGCTGTCTGTTCTGTCTGGATGTCCGTTCTGTCCAGCGTGGTTGAAGTCGAAGTCGAAGTCGAAGAAGCGGAAGAAAGTCCAAGTCGACGTTCGCTGGCTTTCTCTGCTCTTCGCGCTGTGTGAAGTAGCGATACGAACAGCTACCTCGCTTCACAGCCAGCTCCACGCTGAAACACAGGTACTCGCAGGTAGTGGGACTTTGCTAGGGCTCCCTTCTCGCTCCCCTGCTTGCTTTTTCATGCTCACTAACTAGATAATTCCAGGATTCACCTTGACAGTTGTCTGTATGCAGAGTCCAGACGCCCGTAGCCGGCACTCAGCGCACCGCTCAGGGCAGCTCTCGCACCGCAACCGCAGCTTGTCCCACCGCAGACACCGCTCGACGGCGCGAGTGTCGTCTCCGGCGTGCTCTTGCTCCTGAGCTGCTCCTCTTTCGTGCTGGTCTTCGGCGTCGGGGTGGTCGGGGTCGGGGTCGTCTGAGAATCGCTGGAGCACTGCTGGGTCCATCCGCACCCGTCTGTGGCCACAGCTATACTCCTTCACTTCGCCCGCGATCTGCTGCTCCTCTAGCCCAGCGTCCTCGTCCTCGTTCTCGACTCCGTCTCCGGCTCCGGCGTCGTCTCCAGTTTCTTCCCGGTTGAAGGAGGACTGCAGCAACAGCCTTGTTTCTTCTCGCTGCTGCGTGCAGGCGGGACAGTAGCCGTCGACCTCGATCGTGGCGGTGCGCCAGTGCTCCTCCGGGCAGGCTCGAGAAGGGACGCGGCCTGGATTGGTGGCGGCGTCGGGGTTGCGGAAGCGCTGGCCGCGGGGGGCATGGCATCGCTGCAGAGGGTGCTTCAGGTGGCAGGGCTGGATGTGCTGGCAGCGGAGGAACAGTTCGGCAGCGAGAAGACGGCACATTTCATTTGGGGGGCGCTGGCATTGCGGTGGGCGTGAATGTGTGGCAGCAAATGTTATTATCTACGGAGTACTGGGAGGTGAGGGCAGAAGGCCGGTTATATGGTAGACGGGGGCCTGTAAACAAGGGGGCTGGAGAGGAGATGGGGACAGTGGAGTGCTGTGAAGCTATAGCAGAGTAGATATAGTCCGTAGTAGGCAGATATTGCCAATTGGTAGGTAATGGTAGAGGTTGTAGGCATTCATTGTAGTGTAGTGTTGTAGTAGAGCTGAGATATCAATTTACGGGAGCAGTCTACCAACTTCAACTTCCAACATACATCAAAGGAAAAACAGGGCAATGACATAAAGAATTAATTAGTCTGGTCGAAGCAAAGAGCAAGAAGAGGTAAAGAAACAAAAATAACGATCGTGAAGCAAGCTTGAATCTGCCTCCCCAGCCCAGCCCAGCCCAGCAGTGCTGCTCAAGATGGATATATCCCATGTGCCATGTGCCATTGCCATTGCCATACCATGTCCAAAGCCTTCTTTTCTTCTCCGGATACTGTTTTCAGCCTCTCGCTGTGCCTTGTTGTTTTCTTTTGCTTTCCTCTTTCCTGTCACCAACATATATGCTGCGGTTCATCTGCTTTTTGACAGGCTCAGGAGGGTAGTAACAGTAACGGATATTGAATTCATTAAATAAAAGACAAGTACGGAGGAATACAAGAGGGGAAAAGGAAAAAGAAATACAAGAGGCCGGTCAGCTAGTCAAGTTGATAGAATGGGGGAGGGGGATAAGGAGACAAGATAAAATGAAGAAAAAAAGTTAAGGGGGAATTTGAATGAATGTAAGAGTAAGTGGCCTGGCATGGAGTCTCGATGGGAGAGTAGGAAAAAAAAAAAAAAAACAAAACAGGAGGGGGATAATACCATTAATTTCGAGTAGGAGAGATCAAGAGTGAGTGAGTGAGAGGATAGAAAGAGAAGATAAGAAACAATGTCTGGACTTGGGACTGGAGGGGAGATAGCATGGCAGAGAAGAAGAAGCATAGAAGGCGGAAGAGGAGAGACGGAGTGAAAAGACAAAAAGCACGGTTTAACGGAGAGAGAACCCCTTTCGCTTTATCTTGTCTTCCAGCGGCCGTCCGCTCTCGAGACGGGCCTTCTTCTCCTCTAGCTCCTGGCGCTGTCGGTCGAGCTGCTCCTTCATCTCGCGGTGTCGGGCAAACAGCTCTTCTTCGGACTGCTTCAGCTTGCTCTCCTTCTCCTGCACCTTTTGCTGGAAGACCATCTTCATCTCGGCCTCCATCTTGGCCAGCTTCTGCTCGTGCAGGGCGCGCTCCTCCTCCTGCTTCACGGCCGGGTTGACCTCCTTGAAGACGCTTGGGTCCTGTGTCACGCCCATCTGCGTCAGCTTGTCCGAGCGGTAGTTCTCGTACAGCGTGTTGTTGGTGTGCTCCTTGAGCTCCTCCATGTGTGTGCGGATCAGCATCTGGCGCAGCTTCACAAAGTCGCAGTGCTCCTCGTTGTCGACCTCGATGACGCCCCAGGGGTAGCGGCGGCCACGCACTTTGCGGCCGTCAGCGCTGGTCACTTCCGAGTTGGCACCAACCACGGCAAAGGGGACCTTGGACATGATCTCCTTGTTCTCGGCAATGGTTTCCTCGTCGTCCAGCTCGTAGCGTGGGCCCTCGAAGATCTGGATCGAGTGGTGCTGGATATCAGCCAAGATCTATACCGCTTTGTTAGCACAAACACATAAAGATATGTACAGGGTATGCACTTACTCTCTGCTTGAAGAGGGCAATCTCTTCGTCGGTCAGGGTGTCAGCCTTAGCAATGACTGGGATCAAGTTGACCTTGGTATGCAGACGGCGCATCACCTCAATGTCCAATGGCTTCAGGGAGTGGCCAGTGGGCTGGATGAAGTAGACACAGGCGTGCACACGGTTGTCAACGATGTTCATGCGGTTGACCTTGTTCTCGGCGTCGAGGTAGGCATCGAACCGCTGCTCGATGTTCTCGACAATGGGACGCCACGAGTCGTCGTTGTTGACAAAGTCTCCGAATCCGGGGGTGTCAACGACGGTCAAACGCAGACGGACGCCGTTCTCCTCGATGTCTGCACTGATGGACTCGACGGAGACGGTCTTGGGGATGATGTCCAGGCTGGGGCCAGTACGTTCTCGTGGGGGATATAGAGATGTGTTGAAGAGTGTGTTGACCAGCGTCGATTTTCCCAGGCCAGACTCACCTGCTCTTGGTTAATTCAACGGAACCATACATTGGACATACATATCAAAATGTGTAAATATAAAAAAAAGGACAAAACGACGTACCAACGACCATGACGTTAAAGTTGAACCCCTTTCGTACACTCTTGCGGTGCCACTGGTTTGGCAGGTTGGCAAACCCAACGTAGCCGGCCAGTTTCCGGCGAACAACGTTCTTCATGTCACTGGCAGCCTGGGCAGCGGCCTTGGGGTCCTTCGAGCTGACTGTCTGGGCTGCTCCGTGGCCCATCGGGTTGCTGCGTTCGACGTGAGGAGAGACATGGGGGGATGGCGGTGCTGGCGAGGGCCGGGTGGGCGTTGGGATGCCGTTAGACGCAGCTGGAGGGTCAATGTCAGTCTCAGAGTCACTCTTCTTGTCACTATCAACCTCGGGCTCGCTGCTGTTCTCGGTCTCTGTCGCAGTCTCCAGCGAGCGGGTGTAGTCAGAGCCCGAGTCTGGCTCCGGCTCCGGCTCTGGCTCTGGCAGGATGGTGATGGGCTCTGCTATGGGGATCTCAGGCAGCATGGCAGCCATCTTCTCGACCACCAGGCCGACTTTAACCACTTTCTCCTCCATCGTGTGTCTTTTTTAATCACTGCAGTAGGCTAGAATAGACTGTCTTTGGCGCACCCCTTTCGCATCAAACAACCGCCAACGAAACCGAGAGACGTAGAACCCGAGCCAGCGATGAAGAGTAAAAGGGAAAACTCGAGGCTTACCCATCGTGAAGCAAGTTGTTTATCCTGTTGTTTTGGTCTCGAACGAGCAGAAAAGGAGAGTCGGCTGTGCAGGAGCAGCTTTGGGGCCTGGAGTCGCGGGTTCCTCGTCAGCCAGCAGTAAACAAACCCGCATTAAAACAGGCACACAAGGCCATCACACTCGGTAGGAAGAGAGAAGACTCGGGACGTACCCTGGATTCAGTTCAATTGCGACGGGGGGAGGCGAGGCGAGCGAGCGTGAAGGGGTTGGCGGAGGTGAAGGTGAAGAAGATACTTGAAGCCACGAAAATATTATCAAGGGCCAAAGAGAAAAAAAAAAAAAAAAAAAAAAGGAAAAAGCGGACCAAGGGGGGAGGAGACGGCCTGCTTGGTCAAATGAACGAGAGACGGAGAATGAGACAAGGCACCGCAGAGACAGCGAGTGCGAGACGAAGAGCAAACGGAGTCGACGGTGAGCAGACGAAGTAAAGAAGAAGAAGTAGAAGAGGAAGAAGGAGGACGGCGACGGCGAGGAGGAGGAGGAGAGGAAAAGGAGATCTCAGGGGGTGTCGCTCTTCTTTTTTTTTGCCTGCGCGCTGGTGGCTCTGCTTGGGGCCGCCCCCTTTTTTTCCTTCTGCTCGACCACCAAACGGGAGCGCGGACGCTGGGACGAACTACTACTCGCTACGGATACTACTACTGCTGCTGCTGCTGCTGCTGCTGCTGCTACTCTTTGCCTTTCCGTTCGTCTAAGGCGAGGGCTGGCGGTGTCGACAGTGGACAGGTCGCCCGCTCAGGGGGGGAGGGCTCCGTGCCAGTGGGAAGACAGAGAGTCAGAGACAACCCACCCCCCTTGGTCGGTCGTCGTCTCTGCGCTGGCCGTCGCGGTGAGGGAGATGGGAAGGACCCTCGCCCTGTCCTGGTGATTGGCCGTCGAGTTGAAGGAGGGCCAGTCAGTTACCGTAACAGCCGCGTTGTGACAGGTGCTGAAACAGCCAGCCAGCAAGCCAGACCAGCTTAGTTATTTAGATGAAGGGCCGGGAGACGGCTATAGCAGAGGCTGTCTTAAGGGTGCAGCATGCAGATGTCCAGATGATGCGTTGCAAAAGAGCAATACGGAGTGGATTGTTGCTGCTGGAGCCGAAGATGCATGGCAGTGCATGATGTGCATGCCGTCCCGTAGTCGACGGACCGGGAGAAACAGCCAAACAACATCATCGTCGACTTGGAGATGGATGTCTCTTGTCTAAGATCGTCTGAA